CTCACTGAGAGATAAGACGCCTGTTTATTCGGTTTCGTTAATGATTGAATTCACTTCACCCAGTGTGAAAAACCTTCAACGCTGAACACAACCCACGCACCGCCGACCTCCAATGCCAGGCTAAAGACTCGCACTGCCAAAAGCAATCTCGGGGCTTTAACTAAGACTCTAGTTTCTTTTTTACTTCAGAGTTCGTATGTGCTCCCACTGTTGGGGTGGGTTTCCTCTGGGTAATCCTGTTTGCTCCCACAGTCCGCAGACCAGACTGATAGATTAACTTAACCGGCCTCTGGGAAAGTCGGCCCTGGTGTGAGTACGTGTGATCGCTGCCCTGTGACGGACTGGCATCCCATCCAGGATGCACCTGGATTGTGCCCACTGCTTGATGGGATAGGCAGCGGCTTCCCCCACACTGGAAGAAGCGGTGGGCAAAGTGGACGGATGGACAGTCCAGCCAGAAAGGGAAGCACGGCCACGTCAGGCCGGATCGAGATGGAATTCCAGTCCCACGTGCGCGCGCGTGCGGCACTGGGATGGAATTCTCCGAGCGCTCTTCCCCGCAAAAGCACGTTCGCAAGCTGGCTTGTTGTCAAAGCGCGCACGAGAAGCCGGGCGAGGAACAGGCACATTCCAGAGCAAGGCAGACTGCTGCGCTGAGGTGTCTCAACGCGGCATGCCTGAGCACGCTAGGGAAGGCTCTCTCTCCGACTGACGGAGCAGCTCCCTGCCCCCCCCCCCAGCCAGTGAGGAGACGGAGCGAACTCGGCACACTTCGGCCCCATTGCCCGCTTCTCCCGAGGCCCGGCGGCTCCGTTAATCCCCGTCCTGACTGAAACCGCAGTCCCGACGCGCGCGCCGCGGAGTAAGCAAAAAAGCAGAAGGCCCTTCTTCACAGAACGCCTTTCCAGCGCTTGACTCCGTGATCCTGCCCGAAGAAAAACGGCCAAGGTGGGCTGCCTGCTGTGAAGTCGGGCCCCGGGGCCCTAGAGAATCAGCAGAGGCCTGGCATTTGGGCACAGCGGGCTGGGCACTCGGAAGTGCCAGGCGGTTGTGGAAACGCAGGCTCAGAACACACACAAACGCCGCACAACCACAGAATCTGAAGCCAATCTGCTCAGGAGCAGCGACGTTATTCTGTACCGGGGCTAAAAGAAGAGCCATGGATTGGACTGTGGGCAACACGGTGGAGCAGTGGTCAGCATTGCTGCCTCGCAGAGCTCTGGGTTCAATTCCAGACTCGGGGTGCTGTCTGTGTGGAGTTTGCGTGTTCTCCCGTGTTCATGTGGGTTTCCTCTAGGTGCTCCAGCTTCCTCCCACAATCCAAAGACATACTGGTAGTTAACTGGCTCCTGAGAAAACTGGCCCTGGTGTGTCTGCCCTGTGATGGACTGGCATCCTGCCCAGGGTATACCCCACCTTGCACCCATTGTTTGCCACGATAGGCTCCAGTTCCCCCAAGACCTTGAATTAATTGGATGAAGTGGTTAGGAAATGGACAGATCAGGTGGCACAAAACACACACATCACTTCGCAGTTTTGATTTCTCTAAGCCCATGTTTTTCTGATGCTATGCACTTTCACAGCCAAAGCTTGGTAAAGTTCAGCAAAGACTTACCAGCCACACAGTCACCACAGTACTGGCACCTGGGAGCTGGTCCCAGCTGATCCAGTGCCATGAACACTGGCCATATAAAACTCCAGTGAATTTAGCAACATTTCTGTCTGCAGAGTGGTTCAGTTCTCATAGTATCGTCATATACCACCTGGTCCAAATATCAGCCCTGCACACTAGTCTGCCTGACACACAATGGTAAGCATTAAAAAAAGGAACACGCCACGCAGACCTACAGTATTATGAGCTGACCTGAACTACTGAATCCTGCATATGGAAACTTGAACAGACAAGCAGATGTTCCTGCACAAAATCCATTCGCATATTTACAGGTGAGAGGAGGCTAGTCACTCGATCGAGCTCGTTCGGTGGTTGCAAATTGATCCAAGATCTCACCCGGTCCTTTCTTTAAAGAAGCCAGGATGTCGGCTTCAACAATATGGCTGGGCAGCCTACTCCAGACACCCGCCACCCTTTGTGTAAAGAAGAGCCTCCTATTCTCATCTTTAATATTTTAGGTCCTTCGCTTCGGCGCTGTACCGGTAAATGCACATCGGTCTGACAGCTACATGCTTCACTTCAGCAGGGGACTGCATTATTAAAGGCAAACAGTGTTGCTCTGGTTTTTAAAATAACGGCTTTTTTCGCTAGTCGTTGATCTCAGAACCTTCGTCTTCTTTGCCTCTGAATTTTTGGCAGGACTACCCTTCATCACAAACACTACTACGGTTCGTGTATTTTCTGAATTTAGAAAGCCTGACCAAAACCACACTACGGGATCAGGATTTGGGAACGAATAAAAACTGGATGAAAAACACAGCTGGGGTTAACTTGACATGCCCGAAGATTTGAATCATTAAACTGGCCGATTAATCAATATTGACGGGGTACCACAGAACACGATTATTTCCGAAGGCCTGATGTGCGGTTTTTTTTCTTTCAAGTCAAACGAGAGGAGAGAAAAGATCGCACTTAAAGCAATGATGCCCAGTGCTCTGAAGGGAAATCGCGTAGACATGCGGAGCTCTGAGGGTGGGCACGCAAGGGGTGTCTTCCTCATCCGAGTTAGTTACTTTAAAACACATGCTAAGGTCATCATTATCTTCGCTCATGGACGCCTGCCAGCCATTGATCGAGCCGAGCAGAGCTCTCCAGAGCCTACAAAGTGCACTTCAGCTTTCACTTGTCGGGGGCCGGGCTATGCCGGGGGCCACTCGAAGCGCATGACACCGCCGAATTGGATTTCCGATTAAGAGGGTTTTAATGTAATTACATCAAGTACCGCGCAGCATGTCAGGACTAATTTTACGACGCATCAAGTCGATGTTTACGGAGTGTGAGTTATCTCCGCCCTCCGCCCATAGATGCGCTATAACAGGAGTCATAATTTCTTTTACCGCGTTCCCCTTTTTATCAGATAATTCATTCGGTCATCTTTTCGGGGGAGGTAACCGATGAAACGAGAGGAGGTAGCACCTTCATACAGTAACAGCTTTACCATCTTTAGTGTTTTTAAATCTTCTTTCAGGGACACTACTTCCAAACCGTTTAAAAAAACGGTTACCAGAACAGTAAAAGGAAAAGGGGTCTTGATGACTTAATGACTCTTTCGACATGAAAATCTTAAACGAACCTTAAATTGTAAGCGTTAATTTGTCTGAAAGGATTTCGTAATCGAAGCCTGTATCTATATATAGACATCGTCAAGACTCGCCATTGTAAAGATGCTTTGTGCAATATAGCGTTAGGCAACTGTACGGTTTTAAGAGGCACATGCGTTCGGCTATTTCCGTCAGTGTCCAGATTAAATTATTACAGATTAGGAGGAAACACAGTTACTGAAGAACAGACGCTTAAAGAACCACTTAACAGACACGAAAACGGCTCTCTTTCCTTATCAGAAATGAATTTCGCTGCACCCTCGTTCAGCTTCTCCGATTTAAGTTTCTGATGAAATTAAACTGCAGTTTTCTACCTCCTTTCAATGTTTAATTACATTTTCTGCAATTAAAAGAGGTGACGCGTTAGCTGCTTGGAGTTAGGTTTCGAAGTCAGGTCGGTGACACACGCCTGCAGGGTGGCTCAGCTCCGCGCTTGCTAAGGCTGTGAGAGACTACGGGCGTCTTTTTTAAATGCACACTGTTCGTATTTACAGTACACATCTCGCCGAGAGCGCTCAGGAGAAGGAGGAGGAGTGCAATTCACACATGCTGGACTACTAGGAGTATGAATGACCGCAGCACGGACAGCTCCTTGCACGCCGGACGCAGTGCCCCTCTCCACACCCTCGCCCCTCCTGCGCGCCCAGGTACCGCGGGGGAGTCCAGTCCACCCGGCCCGCGCACCGGTGAAAACCCACAGAACAGAAAACGTTTCAGTCCCAGATTTCACGCGTGGAAAAACGAGCGGCATCGTAGACGTTTTCGCGTTGTTTACTGATATTGTTTTAAAAAAGATGCAAACTCGAAAGTGTGCACAAACAACACGAATTCACAAAACAAACGACCGGGGAAGCATATACAAAACAGCAAAACAGCGCAACGAAGGCAAAAATAATCATGACCTATTTCTTGGTCGGTGTCTGATATGTTAAAGGGATTATAACGTCTCTTCGTGTTGTGACGCTCTTCTGTTGTCTCTTGTATTTTTCATCAGCTTCATGGGGAAATAATTGTCAGGTGTTCTTAATATCGCACGTCAAAATTAATCGAAGTGGGTGCCTTGCGATCAACTACACAAAAGAAAAAAATGACAGTAGCGATATCTTGCGACATCTGCATAAACCCAACCAAATTTGTCACACGTTTTTCCCACGAACTGATTTCGAGCATATCAAGCGCCAAACAAAAGACGGATTCCCTTGCAGTGTGCACCAGCCCGTAATGTGTTATTAAACATGGCGAGGTAAGGAAAGGGAGGTCGACTTCTTGAAATGTGGAAGCAAATATTCAAAGAATGTTTGCCCGGCGCAACCCGATAGCAAAGGTGTGCTGAGGTCCGCGTCAGAGACAGGAGAGTTGAGGGGAAAAAAATATTTGCAAAGACGTGGGCTGAACTGGGTCTATCAGATCGTTTGTTATCGGCTCAAAACTGTATTTGTCCAAGAAAAAAACGATTAAATCTTGGGGGGTGTGCTTTGGACACCCAGGGTTACGCTTAGGCATTCTGAAGACTCACTCTTTCACCCACTCAATAATAATCTTCAAACCGCGTTTTGCACAAACCCCCCCTCCTCCTTCTCTTGCTTTCCTCCTCCACCCGGGCCGGACCCCTTCTCCCTTTCCTTGTACCTGCACCGGCAGGTCCGGTCTTCCCCCCACCTCTCACCTGAGCAAACTCGAAAGCGGGTGAGATGAGGAACTGTGACCGCCGCCTCCTCCGCCGCCGCTCCCTCCGCCTCCCGAGGACCCTCCACCGATCCCCGCCGACTGCCGCTTGCCGGATAGCAGCTTCTCGACGGCGGCCAGATTCCCAGTGCGGGCAGCCTCCAGGAGCTCCTGCTCCTTCCCCATCTCGGCTCGAGAATGGAGCCAAAGAGGGAGGCACACGCAAGGCAGCGGCTCAGGCGATTCCCTTTCAGCCTGGTGTCCCAGAGGCCAAGACGCGTATCCAGGCTCCAACAGCAATGCTCCCACTGACAATAATCCTCCACAGTTGATCGATGTTTTTTCTCGCGGCAACTCGCGCCCCGGATCCCTGCTCCACTCCGCCGCTCCAGGGAAAGTTTCTTTCAGCACCACCACCGGCCAAACTTCCTCCGACTGCCCCCCCGACACGTCACTTCCTTAGGACAGCCTCCTCCTCATGATGTCATTTGGTTACTTTCCAACGTCATTTCACAACAGCCCCATTACCCCATACCTGGTACAACCGGTAGTGAAATCCTATCACCCACTACCTCCCCCACAAGTCTGGATTTAAGTCACTTTAATAATGCGCTGAGAATGCCAAGAATTGCAAGACAATCGCATTTCGTTTTAATGCAGCTCAGCACAAAGAAATAAATATTCGTATCAGTTTCTTTGTGTCGGAAACAAATCAGATGTAACACGTTAAATGTATCAGAATGTATTTAGATGTGTCTACAAATTAAAGGAACTACCAAACACGAGAAAACAATATTACCACATACACTTCATTAACTATAACGGATATCCGCTATTAACAAGTGTAAGTCAGATAGGGCTGTTCAGCCTGCAAATACTGAAATAAATTGATATGTGGGGGACTTTTATTTGGGTGGGCAAAATTGCGGAGCATAGCACGCGTGGGCTAGAGCCCTTAAGTGTAGTCTAAGAGGCTGTGGTTTTTGCTTATGTAGACGTTATCTCTGAAGCCAGTAATGGAGCTGAATCCTAAACAGGTTGAGCTTCTATTTGTGAGAAATACATTTTAATCGACACGGTTTGTTCCAGGTATAGCTCGTGAAATGGATTTTGTCGGGTAGGGTGACTTTAAACTCTCCTGCCCCACCCAAGCTCAGTCCTGGTACCGACCTGCCTGGATGTCGGATATTCTTCTGTGCTGGGGTGTCTTCTCTGTGGAGTCAGCAGGTTACTCCTGTGGGCTGTTGCGTGGTGTGCCTGCCAAGTTAGACTTAGGGTAGGAGAGCAAAAAAATAATCAATTGCTTATTTACAGGAGGCAACTTTATTTCCTAGTTTTATATTTAACCGTTTGTTATGTTCTCCTAAAATGTATTATCCAGATAATGGAATTTGAAGGCTTTGCCCTCCTCCGCACTAAAATTCCGTTCCCATGGTTAATTCCTGTAGTGCAGTTCCATAGTCATATGTAGAAAAGCAATATTTGAATACAGTCTGCTGAGTTTCAGACAGCAGCTTCCTTACTAATGCAGTTATGGCACTGATCAGGTCACTTCACTTCAAATGCGGTTGTTCATTAAAAGATTCTTCATCTTTTTCTGTACGCCCAGCAAACCCAACACCCCTGGCAGACCAGCTGTTTCTTGCGTTTTCTTCTCTTCCCGGGTCGGGATCTCAATATGTTCTGCTCTTTGTTCAACGCCATGACATTTACGGGACCGTTTAACTAAATGTGTTTCAAATTGGCCACATGCTCTCAGCAGAGTTCTATTTGCTACAATTACAATATATTTGTATTTTTTTATAATCACGTGTCACTCGTATTAGACCTAAACTGTTCATATGAAACATTTTCAGATTAAAAAAAACACGTTTAGGCTATTGCTGATAGATTATATCACTTTCAACACATAAAAAGCGAAATCCACACTAAATGTTATGGCTACGGTTGGTTTATGTATCCTCAGATATCTGATATTAGGAGCACATCGTAAAATAAATAACGACCTGTTAAACTTTCCAGAGCCTGGCAATGTCGGTGGAACTCGCTTCGTTTTTCGTTCTGGGCGGCGCATAAAGTTCATTCAAACAGGAAGAGGAAGTACTTTACGAGACTGATAAAGAAGTAGTAAACATTCAGACGGTTTGGGTTTGTGTTAAGGGGAAACTGGCATTCGGGTGAATTATATTTATTTTTATCTTGTTGTTGTAACGATTTTCCGTGGCATTGTAAAATAAGAACGAGCTTATTAATGAGCTTTCTGTTCATTAAAAAAAAACAATTGGACAGATTTCTGTTTTTCAGCCTAGTTTTCCTTTGCATTTCATATGGTTTATTTGAAGGCAGGGATATTATAGCTGTAGTGGAAGTAATTACTATATGAACGTTTGAAGGAGACCTCGGTTAAACGCAGCGCTAAACCTGACGGTCACACTCGTTTCAGTCTTTAGGGCAATAAGGCACGGTGTAACCGGGAGCTGGTGATGGCGGACCCTGCCCAAGTAAAAACTGAAGTGGGGCCGGAGATGGCGGAGGGTACGACCGAGCCCCCGCACACAGACAGCGAGGATGCACCGCTGGCTGAGCCGGGAGCCGCGGAGTCCCCCGCCACCGCAGCGCAGCATCCTCAGGACACCAAGGAAGACGACAAACCGGTGAAGAGCCTTTTACTGTATTACTGTAGTTAAGGAATGTAACTGAACACCCGTCTGTGGCTACAATGTAAACGCCATACTTTACCTTTTATGAGAGCGACGAATACGACTTTTCGGAAGTCACCTTTTCGAAATAAATGTCTCGAGTGCCAATAATGTATGTAAGATGTAAGGTTCTGGATGATTAACATTGAGACCCATCTACAAAGTGCTGAAATTAAACTTGTTGTATTTAGCCCTTTAAAAAGTAACCACAGACCAGCATGAAAGTTAGGCCTGGTGTGGCCAGTATTTGGACAACAGCTCAGAGTTGAGTGAGTGCTCAGAGTGTTCACATGTAAGATTTTGGGGGTGATTATTTCACAGAAATAAGATTGCAAGATGAGTATACGCCGTCTGTTTGAGCATCAACACAAGGTCTTGTGTCATCTTCAGAGTTCCACTTGTGTGCGCTCATGTCTGCTCCTGGTTGTGCCCGGCCTTGTGTCCCTTCCCAGTTGTCACAGTTCGGTCCTTTCAGGAGGCCGAGCTGTGCGTTTATTTTATTTTTTTAGTGCCAAACTAAGTGGCAGCCTCTGCCTCCCCATCCTCACACTCCCGTCTCTCCTCTGGGTTCAAGGACGCGGGTCCCGGCGATGAGGGAGAGGCGTCCCTGGCTGGTCACCCTCTGCCGGCCAAGAAGATGAAAATTGAGCCCGAAAAGAAGAAAGAGAAGAGGCACAAGGTGGACGAGGACGAGATCCAGAAGATGCAGTGAGTTGATGGAGGAGGGTGGAGAGGCGTCCTTATGCCATTCTGCCAGAGTACAAGGGCGTCTTTGACAGCAGTCAGCCACACACCTCCCCTCATTCCAGCAGCCTGTTGGTACAGCGGGTTTGCTGATAGAGGTTATGTCTAGGCGATCCGAGTTCAATAGCCAGTTCGGGCACAAGTTTTGGGGCGGAGCGGTTGCTCTGTGCCTAAGGATCTGCGCCTGTGGCTGGAAGGTTCAAATCCGGGTCAAATCCCGCGGCCGGCAGAGTAATCCTACTCCCTTGGGCCCCTGAGCAAGGCCTTTAACCCCAGCTGCTCCATGGGTGCCGTATAAGTGGATGAACCTGCGCTCCAACCCCAAGCTTCTGTCTCCCTGTCTGTGTGTCTTGGAACGTAATGTGTGGGTATGTGAAAAGACAAACTCCTAATTGAAATTGTTTATAGCCAATAAAGTGATCTTATCTTCTTTATCTTATCTAGTGAACTGTTCAGACCATTGTTCAGTTTACACTTTGGTTTCGTTTTACACTTCTTCTTTCCTTCATCACGTCTCCTTTTTAACCCTTTTTATTGGTTTCTGGGTCAGAAGATCTCTCGGACTGATAAATGAAAACTAATGTGAAAGGCTGATGAGGTTGATGCAGGTGCTAACGGCTTCTCTTGCTATGGTCAAAACAATGTCAGGAAAGAAAATCTCATGTTTTTGCGTTCTTTTGTGTTCTCACAGGATTTTAGTTTCCTCCTTTTCAGAAGAGCAGCTGAATCGTTACGAGATGTACCGGCGATCCGCTTTTCCAAAAGCTGCAATTAAAAGGGTAAGATGGTATTTTACATTCTTCAGACACTGGTAGAACAGCAGTGAAAATGTTTCTCTCTTCACTTTGGGTCTGAAGCCCTTTTTTTTACTGATCCTTGACTCTGTACTGGATCTCTGTGGTTGGTTCCAGCTGATCCAGTCTATTACCGGGTCTTCGGTCTCCCAGAACGTGGTCATCGCAATGTCTGGAATTTCCAAGGTCTTTGTTGGGGAGGTAGTCGAGGAAGGTAAGGGAGTTTTCAGCTCTGAGTCTTTCATCAGCTGGAGTTAAGACCTGGCAAACATCAGTGGTCATCATCCTACCTAGCAATCTCCTATGTAATATCACTTACAGGTTACATGAGTTAAGTTCTCCAGAAGATAAGAGAGAGATAAGATAAGACTTTATCGATTCCGAAGGGAAATTGAGGTGTTACGGCAGCCGAGCCCAAGAAAAGCAAGACGGATATCAGAATAGGCTAAAATTAAAATAACTACAGCATTAGAGTAATTAAAAAATATAAAGAATGCAAAAATAATATAAATAGCAAAAAATGTGTAAAATATGCCAATAGTCACTGTAAAATAGTCAAAATGCGCATAGATATATAGAGATTGGAAATACCACAGTGTACCAACAGTATATTAATGTAGTGTTCAAAAAGTACATGAGTGCAACATGATGTCCATAGATGAGCAGATGAAGGGCTAGCAGGCCTAGCCTAGGGCAGTGTTATACATCCTGACAGCTGCCGAGAGGAAGGACCTGCGGAAATGTTCTCTTGAACACCATAGCTGGAGCAGGCTGTTGCTAAAAGTGCTCCACTGCCTAATAACACTCCCATGTAGCGGTTGAGAGGCGTTGTTCATGATGGCTGTGAGCTTGGTCAGCATTCTCCTCTCTGCCACCACCTCCAGGGAGTCAAGGCTCAGCCCCAACACAGAGCCAGCCTTCTTGATGAGTTTATTAAGTCTGTCTACATCTCTTGCCATGATGCTGCTGCCCAGCTCACAACACCGTAGAAGATGGCCGCTGCCACCACTGATTCATAAAAAATGTGTAGTAGTGTTCCATATATACCAAAGGACCTGAGCCTCCTAAGGAAATAGTTGGCTCTGACCTTTCTTGTAGAGGGCGTCAGTATCCCCTGAAGTTTATCATCCAGGTATACCCCTGGGTACTTGTAGGACTGCACCACCTCTATGTTCTCACCGATACAATATTTAATGTACAGACGTGAATAGCAGTATCATGCCATACATTTTATTATCTTAGGGGAGATAACAAAAAAAAAAGTTCAGAAGGCGTCATGTGAAGTTAACTCCTGAGAAATGCACGTCTTGGCTTTCCTGTACTTTAGGATTATTACCCTTAGATTGAGATGTCAAAAAGGGGTTTTATAGCCTAAGCACCACATAGATACTCCATCTAGTCACCTTTGAGGAATGTTTTCTGCAACTGGTGCAGGTAGCAGAGTGCACAACAGCTAGAGCAGAGAACAACTCAAAGCAGCACTGAGGAACCCTCCTATTGATTATTCTGTGAGTCTGTAATCCAGATGATACCTATGCCTTCTTACAGGGAAGGAAATAAGATACCTATTGCTCAGCCTTGAGGTCCATTTCAGACTTTGATTTGTAGTCTCTTGTACACATAACAAAGCACAGGGAAATCTGTCAAAAAGTACTTGAAATAGGAAGCTGTATCAGTGTGAGAGCGGCAGAGGAACACATAGAGGTTAGCTCCACAGACTGAACCGGTCTTTAATCTTTTCAATGTGGAGCTAAACTCTGCTCGCTGTATTGAAATGTTTCTGCTCCATGCTTTCATCCCTAAACCTTTATTCATAATAGGCCTTCAAGCTTGGAATATCCTACAAGCAGTACAGCACTCTTCAGTATTACATCTGCTGACAGCTGGTCTTAACTAGGCTTTTGCTTCAGTGTGTCAAGCGGCTGTGAGCAGCACTTGAACTTGGGAACACTTGGTGGTGGGTGTGTGTGCCAGGACACTGCTGTTCTTTGGAATTCTGACCTAACTGTGTCGTTGTCCCAGCTCTGGACGTGTGTGAGAAATGGGGGGAGACCCCGCCACTCCAGCCGAAGCACATGAGGGAAGCAGTAAGGAGGCTGAAGAACCGGGAGCAGATTCCCAACACCAAATACAAGCGCATCCTGCTCCACTAGGTGGGAATCTGGGAGAGCTGTCCCGTCTTTTGACAGACTTTGTGTCGACATTGCCTCTCCCTAAGCCCCTGTGGGACAGAGAGCCCGAGACCGAGGGAGAACAGCGGTGCATCGCCAGCAGTCCCTGCTGTCCCGTCCTGAACTGGTGTGCGTTTTCAAGGCGGGCACCTCGCACTGTGGTCTAGATCTTGTTCTGCCAGCGGTTATGGATTAGATTCTCTCCCTTGCTCGTTCTCCCAACTCTCTGCACCGTGGAAATAAAACAGCTCCATATCCCCAGAAAAGTCCCAGAACAGGCCTGATGAAGGCAGGTGGACTGAGAGGGTAAATGCAGCTTTCTGCCAAAACTGCTTTTATTCCAGTGAGCTGGCTGATTTCCAGAACTCTACCCTGCACATGGATGGCTTTGTAAACCATCATCTTCTGTTCTGCCTAAACAGCTAAAATGAGACGTCAAGCAGATGTGTAATGTAAGATTGCTGTGTAAAACGTTGAAAGATGCCAACCAGTTTAAGCTTTATGCTGTACTAAATATAAACAGTGAAAGCTTACTATTTACCAGTAAAACCCAGTTAAAATTCTCAATTATGCTTAATTGAGGAAAACAAGTGTCCTACTTCAATTTTCCAGTTAACCAAAACTTTGTTCAGAAATGAGCATGTTTTTCTCTGGAGTAAAAACTGAGTTACCCAGTTACTACTGTACTAGGTTTCCCCCATTTGAAAATTGAACTGATTTCCAGTCTGCTTGGTCCATGGCTGCCTCAGAGCTGTGTATCTCACTCCAGACCGTGACAGAACACCACAACGAGATATCGACACCATCTCAGGAGAACTTAGGGGTGTTCCTGAGTTCTTATTAGTCAGGCAGCTGATATCAGTTTTCGGTTTCTGATTTTTTTTTTTAACTTTCATACTCGTACTGATGAAGCCATTTAGGGAGAACAGTTTGTTCCCATCCTTCTTTAGCAGTCACCACAGATAAGACTAGCGTGCAGCAGAGAGATGTTAGATTTTTTATTAATATAACTTAGAAATAGCCTCTCACGTACAGTACTGGTTCACAGAACCCATTTTTTTAAATATATAATAACATTAAAAACCACAAGTCTAAAAATTTTAAATAAAAGCAAAACTCTATAAATAAGTTAAAATACTGTCACAGACTCCAGAATTATCCCATCAAGCTTGAAAAGCCATCATACCCAAGGAGTATTTTCTGAGTTACATATATAAGTTCAAGGTCGTGCAGTTTGTCTCACATTGGCTTAGAGTGAACTTTATAGTTCAAACTCTGAATATCATAGTTGATTTTAGTAGATGAAGCAACTCTTCCAAAACATTGACCAATGTGTGTTTGGTGCTTTTTCTGGGACAGGGCTGTAGTCATTTTTCTCATAAGTGCAAGCATTATTACTACCAAGAGAGACAAGCTCAAATCATCCATCTATATATCTGTTTTATCTGTATATACACATCTATATTTCCAACCACTTCATCCAATGCAGGGGAGCCGGAGCTTTTCCCAGCAAGCAACACGTGGAAGACTGGATACAGCCTGGACGGGACGCCAGTCCATCACAGGGCAGACGCAAACTCGCACTCACACCAGGGCCAGTTACCTTACCAGTATGTCTTTGGATTGTGGCACCTCAGATCTGGCACTGAACGCAGGGCCGCAATGCTAACCACGGTGCCAACGTGTCGCCACAAGCTCAGACCACTTTCCGAAAGGCTCTGGCCTGCACTGTTCAAGAATGCTGAAAAACGTAGGCTAGTGGAATAGTATTTTGAATACCAGAATGAGAGGCCAACATGGCATATTGTTGGTAATCACATGACCATAAGACCTTAAAATGTAGGAACTGAGCTTGTAGCCTTGTGCTGGAATAACCTTTTGAACTGTTTTACTTTGCAAGTGTAAAACAAATACACTTTCATTCTCTTCAGGTTAACATTTGTGGCACTTCCTCTCCCCCCTCCCAGAGCACCACAACATTCTCTGCTCTACAATCTCAAAATCAACTACGGATTAGCAAAAAATCAAGAGTATTTCAGACAATAAAATTGTGATCCAATAATTTCTTCTCATGGGGTAATGTAGATGAAAAAAACCCGATTAATGTTCATTTTCAAAATACATTAATGGTCTCGCAGTTCTTGTGCCACACAATTTGAAAGCACGCTCTTCCACGTTCTTGAAAGACCACTACTGTGGGGGAGTTTTTAACACTTGTGTGATCTACAAAGTGTTTCTTTTGCTATCCTCAAACCAGACTTGATTCTCTGACCTCGATCATTCATTTTAAAGTGAACAGTCAAATTACTGGATCATCAGTGGATAAATTAAAGGTTGAAATTTGGGATAGACAGGCTTTCAGTTATATCAAGCCACCATTGCTCTTTAATCACATACCCAGCTTGACAAGGGCAGACTGGGTAGGTACTGCCCTTAGGTCTAGTGCAGATATCACATTCAGTGTGTATTTAGAGCTGTACAGAACATCTAAGACGCTGGGGGTGTATGAGCCACAAGAAACAGAGATGCCCCAAAATAAACAGGTTTTGGTGATTGATCTGCTTGCTGCACCCAGGCCCCGTATTCAAAAATACATTATTTCCAACAACGTCAGAACAAAACCTTAATAAACTCTGTCCCATTTCTGACTAAACAGCTCTTAAAATGTTATCAAGTTATGGTGAAGAGGCACAGGAGGGAATGACAGTATTTGACACCCCCACAGTAAATCACTGTTTTTCCTTCTACTTAACTCAAATTAGATTTCAGCTTTATATTTCTGATATATTAGCACATCTGATTGATGGCAGCCCTGAAATCCGTTAGCACAAGGTTCATACCAATTACAAGTCTCTTTCTGCCTTCTAAGAGTTGAAAGCAAATTTGACAAAAGGCCTTATAAACAAAAGACCAGGACTGAGAACAACTGTACTATGGTTTTTGTGAAACTGAAGCCTGAGTACAGAACACGCAATCAGATCAATTAATGGCAGCAATTAGTTTGGAACCAGAATAAAGTGTAGAGAGAGCACACATCTATACCCAGTCTCATTGTCTGAGAAAGGTTGAGTCCACGCTCGGCAACCATGTGCTTAGGAGTTAGGGGAACTGATAGAGAAGCTTCTTGGAAACAAGAAAAGGAACATTGCCCCTTTTAAAGATCATTCATTAGAATAACTGAAAACTTTCAGTTAACTTCCAATCTAGCTTCTGCTTTTACCCAGAATAAAAACAAAACCATTTTTTGCTTTGTTAAGTAAGAGCAAGAGCACAGACAAAGCAAAAATCAGAAACACTGATTCTGCAGCCAAGTTAAACTCACACAAGTCTGAACAGGTTCTAAATCACACTTGGTGCACATTTGTTTTTGTTAGTGTTATTTTCAACCCTTTTAAATAGGGTGAGAGATCTGCAGGATTTTGTAAGAACAGCCTGGAGAGGCTCTGTGGACCCTGAGGCCTGGTGTGAGCAGTCAAGAGTGAACTCTGTTTAAGACGCCACAGTCAGAAGAGGACACTGTCCTACACTCCACTGTCCTTTAGAACCACAGAAGACAAGTTTCTCTACTGCCACCTCCTGGCTCAAGAGCACATTTCTATACAGCAGCAGTGAGCAGCACTGTAACCTCATGCCCAAAGACTGAGTTTACTGCCACCTAGTGTGGTTACACACTGAAGGTAGAAGTTTACCTTACAATTCTGTAGGTGTCTACATCTTGGAAAACTGCTGCATAGATTTCACTCAGTAGTAAGTTATCCATCTTCAGTATTAACCACTCACACTGAGAATTAACATGGTGCAACATCAGCTCCCGGAGACCTGTAGAAAATGTGTCTTACCTAAAAAATGCCTTTGTTCCACACAAAATAAAACAGAAAATGATTCAGAAGAGTTGTGTACATCTCTGTCAAAAAAAGGCAGCTAATACCACCTTTACAAATTACAAATTGGACTAAACAGATAGATGTGATAAAAATGTAACCAATCTGCTACAAATATACTGCTGCACAACATGTACAAACGTGCATATGTACTTTTTGACCCACTTTAAAATCCCAAATCCACCCCACGTGCGCAGAAGCAAACACCGTAACGTCAGTTCCCAAGATAAAAACATATCTTCCCAGTGAGGAAAAACGATAAGATCGATAGATCTTGCCTACGGCACGGATACGACAGCCATTCCTCACACAATCAGATTGTTTTCAGTTTAGCAATCGGAGGTAACTTTATATTTCAGCCTTCGCTTTTGGAGTTCACCAACCAAGTTAACTTTAGGATGAGTGATTGGTGAAAAACCACCTTCAAAAACATTTCATGATAAAAAAGTGACTCGGAGGCCTTTAGCTTTGGCACGCCAGACAAACCCTTTACGTGCCAGCCGCCCTTTTGGCACCATAAAACCGGGGACAGTGAGTCCCTGGCATCACATATGTTGGCATATATTCGCAAGTGTCAGCTTTCATCGTCTTTTGTCGGTTTTCCGGCACTTGGTATAAAGAGCTCCACTGGAGGTTCAAGGCAGTTCGATTAGCACTTATCTAACGCCGTATCAACTCCCACATCTTCCCTCTCCGAGGACACGGATGCAGAGAACGGACCGGGCCAGTCAATGGAAATGAGGAATTCGCCGCATTCAGTCCGAGAGCCGTCTTGCAAAGCGAACGGGAGTCCAGGAGTAAAAAAAAAGAGGCTATGGCTTTCTGCTCAGCTTGAGTGAGACAGGAGCCTGGCAGGGAGACCTGTGTAAACAGGTTCATCCCCGGTGTGCAGTACTCGGTGTGGTCCAGGTTCCATCTTTCCTCAAGTAACGGAACCCCTTGGGTGCCAGTCCAGCCAACAGGACGTAAGCCAGAGGTCAATTTCTTTCATGTCACCTTCTGACCATAAAAACATTCAAGTGAGGAACAGTTCAAACATTGTGGAAGGACTGTGGCTCACGTGTCTTAAATAAGTCAAGTGCGCTGTCAAGTCTTCTTGTAGGTCCTCAAAGTGCTGAACATCACTTACGCTCTCCTCCTTACAGAAATGATTATTATCTAATCCTAAGTTAAATACAGTATGTACACATATACATGGTATATCAGCTGTACATCGCAAGTCTGTCAAGTGTTCGCTTTAGCTTTTGGCAACTTTGTGTCTATTGTAAACTCACACCTACATTCTCAAAAAGCCTTCAGAAACAGGCCTGGAAGGCCATTCAAGTGTGGTGTTGTGAGGGGTGGGCGCCCACCATAAGAATTCACCCTCTGGCAGTGTGTTAATCGGGACGTCCCGAAAGCTTGGCAAGACAACGAAACCGGGACACATCCGCTGAGATCTTCCGTGTCGCCACAGGTGCGCGTGCGGTCATGTCAGGGGGATCGTCTGTCCGTCCCGGAAAACGATTCCACCAGTTTCGTATGGGCGTTGTGCGTGGATCCTGAACTGGGAAATGAGAGGAGGCTACAGATACGGATCCGCTGGGCGATTCAGTCAGAGGTCTGGGGAGAAGAGCCGCCTGACGGAACGCCAAAAGACTCACGATGAAGAAGTGCCATGGGCAGTCATGTCCCGCGGTGAGGGGACAGAGGAGGACGAGGGCCCAGGGGGTGGTATGAAATAAAAACAGGTCTGTGCGCCGCAGTGGGATCTGCAAGGCACACATCCCAGCTGAGTGGACAAGCGAACATTACGATGACGTAAGAACTCTTCTTGAGCGCTGTGACGGGGTGGCCAAGACAGATGGGAAAGGGGTCTGATCCAAGCCTCTGCCAGGCATGGTTTCTGCTCTGTACTTTGGACAGAGACTGACCCAGAGGAGCCCGGCGGTGTAGGTCTGGTGCACATCTAGATTCCTGCCGTCCTGCGAAGCCCAGCTCTGCTTCTATTTCCCTGCTGGCAACACGGGTTAAGAATCTGAAGCCAAATTAAATTCCGTGGGTTTAACAAACCTCTGAAGAGCGCTTCCCATCCTCAGGTGTCCTAGAAGTCATGGAGTGTTGTGCCTGTCCTGCTTTTTTAACATATAAAGGCTCTTCTCCTTCTCTGCCCCCAGCCCACCTCCCGTACCCCTCAGTTTTGGTCTTGCACCTGCATTCCCGCAGCTCTCCAACTGACAGCCGAGCACGCAGTCCTGCAAGCCCGGCCACTGGGCTAGCGGCAGAGGTTAGAGGTTGAACAGGGGATCGTATTTCCTGATCTCCAGCAGGAGGCGCTCGCGATCTGTGCTGGCCCGAGCGAGGGCAGCCTCCGTCTGGGCCAGCCGGGACTGGAGGTGCGAACTCTGTGGGACAGAGGGACACGTGGACATTTGGATTACCCTCTTACTTGTGGAGCAGCAGGAAAACACGTATACTGCTGTAAAAAATCTTAAGAACTTATACAGGTGTGTCTTTCTGCCGATTTGGAACTACACAAAGGTTACTCTATTACAGTTATTATTCACTGCTGCAACAATCTGAAGGTCTTTTCTTACCTGAAAGGAATGTAAAGCTATAGATAAATATAGAAAGATATTTATTGGAAATATTACAAAGGGAAATTCTGTCCAATTGGCTTCTGCCCTAACAGACTAAAGGAAACAAATACTCTGCTCATTTCCTGATACACTCCGTTCTTTTTTTTTTCTTGATAATTCTGCCCAGAAATAAACCTCCCCAACATTTCACCATTTGCAGTTGTGATTTCTTTCTTTTTCATTACACATTAAAAGCTTGTGTGGCCTGTTTTAGCACTCGGTTAAAACAGAGGTGAAGACACCCCTGTATACTGTTATCCAAGAGGTACCAGTACTCCATTCACAATTTACAACTCTAAGGATGAGCAAACCCTTTAAATACTTTAAAACAACGCCAATTATCCCCATCTGAAAACATAAACTCCTAACCAATAAAATAGTGCATAACAACCACCAGGTAGACTATTTCCAAGAGCTGTATGAATGAATGAGCTACCCAATAATGTAGTCAAGTATCTACAGAAGGAAGGGGCTTGGGCGACCTCTAGTGGCAGGTGCCCAGTTACTGCAGTCCCTCCGTATACCAGTCCATATTGCAAGCCTATGTGAAGCTGATGTTCAATTGGATAAATACATATATATTAATATGTATATATTATATATAAACATATATGTAAAGCTTTTGCTCTTTGTAATACAGTGCAACTGAAAACTCCTGGGCAGTATCCAGATCCAGGTAATATCACCCATTTGGAGCCATTAGAGTCATTTCTGAGTGCAGGCGATATTTATAGCCGTTTTCAGCAACCCTCTCCACTGCGGACTAAAGAGTGCAGAGAGAAACTGGATACTGCTGATCTCTTTTCTAACAGCACAGGTGAGGGCCAACGGGAGCCAATTCTGTGGATCAGCTCTTGAAACCAGTGAGGGAGAGTCTCAGTGGGCGATGGATTTTTGCCATCATCTAGGACAGTGAATGCTTTATAATAGTACCTGGCAAGGGCCTGATTCCTGTAAGACAAGAGGAATCCCTGCTGGATATACCTCGCTGGAGGCTGCCTGTTTAAATCTAGGCTGTGCCACTGGAAGTCAATGGGCAGCACTGCTAATTGAGGAGTAATTTTTTTCAATATAAATGTGAAAATGCCAATTGTTTTTCATTGTGCCAATTTGGAATCGTCAGCACCTGAGGATTGGGCTTCACGACTACAACACAAAGAGTTTTGTGTATATCAATAGCAAAAGATCCCATGTAAGTTCTCTGTGATTCACATTTTACTGTATAAAAGTGTACAAAAAGTCCAAGGGTTTGAATACTATTGATTGCCACTGTAAAAATTAATGTGTCTTCCCAGTAAAGCACACCAATCTAAAACTAATCTTTTCTCCTACCTAGCAGATCAAATCTTTGCAAAAGGGACGTGCCTGTTTTTCTGGTACCTTATCTTCCTGTCCAGCACTGTCACAGTCCACAGGGTCTGATTGTTCCCAACATGCTCCACTCACGGTCTCTGTGTCCTGCTCACCCCTAGCAACAGTCTGAGCAGGCGTTTCTGACTCGCGGGCTGGGCAGAAACAATAACACCTTCAGTTACAGCAACATCATGGTAAAGATGTCACACAAGCACTCCTGTAGGACATCAAAGCAGACGCAGATCCAAACTATGAGCTCAAACTATTTCATTATAATAGTTTCCAACAATAAAATCTACAGCAAGAACTGTTCTATTTTAGCATATGTTTCACCAAAATGTATTAGGACCACCTAATTACCATTGTTCCAGGTCTCTGGTGTGCCAAGGGCACAATCTTGAGTGTTTTAGAACTCTCTTGACAACTCGTTTCCAACATCAGTAAGGAGTTTAAGTGGTTTATTTCAAGCCCAGAAGAACAGAATTAAGGACCCCAACGTTCAACCAAAACCGAGCTCACCTCTCAGCCTGAAGACTCCATCATCTGTGCGCTCCAAGAGGACACGGTCTATGGAGAAGATCACGGGCACAGGCTGAGGGGAGGTGGGATAGATCCTGGGCCCGTCATCCTGAAAAAGATAACTCAGCTTTGACTCACAATGACAGAGAAAAATACAAGATGCAGAGACAGCAGTCTCTTAGGTCTGGAGTCCATTTCTATTAGTCTGGCCTTTTAGATTGCTGGAACATTCAAGGATTCCTTTAGGAACCAAGATTACAAGATCATAAGAACACTTGCAGATAGGAAGATCAGAAATCACATTTGCTCATCTGGCCTGTAGTAGCATTATGATGCTTGCTGAATGCACCAGAGGGAACTAGAACAGTCACAATGAAACTTGTCTCTGTCTCTGCATTCTCATGCCCTCTTCTCCTGCCTGTCCTCATG